CTACTATCATGCTTAGTGTGACGGATTGTATTTGAGTCAATGAGTCGACACAATCAACTGGTTTCCTTAGATAGAAAACTTTGTATCAATTTGACTGTATGATCTGGTTGAACTGTAAAGTGCCTTGAGATGACATGTGTTGTGAATTTGGCGCTATAGAAATAAACTGAATTCAATTTAACTAGTGTGAGAGATTGCATTCGAGTCAATGATTTGATGCAATCAACTAGTTTTCCTTAGATAGAACATTTTGAATCAATTTCACTCTATGATCTGGTGAACTGTAAAGTGCCTTGAGATGACTTGTGTTGTGAATTGATGCTATATAAATAAACTGAATTGGATTGAATTGAAATGAATGGAATTGAAGGTAGCAGACTAAGAAAAGGTGGCATTTTTGTCCTCTAGCAGCTCAAAATTGCATTAACACAGAACGTTCACAGGGCAAATTAACCAATGTTTTCCTATCACCGTGTTGTAGAAAGGGAAAACCAAAGCTCTGCAAATGGAGAGTGCAGTCTTTATTTTCTTATTTAGGCCAAATATAAAGAGAAGTAAAAAAAAAAAAAAAAAAACATGAGGAGCAATCCAACAGCCTAGTATAGGCCGTTCTGGGGGGTTGAAAAGTGTGATCCCCCTATAGTTGGAACACAGACCCATTCTGAAGCAGATGAACCACCACCCTAGTCTGCTAATCCAGGGTCCCCAACCTCCATGCGATGCTGAAGATGTGCGTCAGCCATAACACCACAACTAAATCCACAACTCTAAGTTGCTCAGGGTGGATGTTGTCCACCCCCGAAGCCTTGCAACCATGGAGTATTTTCACCACCTCAGGGACTTCAGCCTGGATGATGAGCAAATCCAGGCTTTCTACTGCTGCAGGAGGTGTGTCTGTTCGAATTTAGTTAGGTTTGTCAGTTTGTCACTTTTACCAGCAGATTAAATATTAATAATTGAACTAGAAGTTCTAATTATTTCATTATTTCTTTAACCAAGGGTAAAAAAAAATATGTAAATATTCGTCAAATGATTATAACTGACGATTTGCTCAACTACCAGGTATTATTAAAAACTACCACCATAGACTTTGCATGTAAATCAGATGCTTTGATGCCCAGAACGCACTGTAAATGCAAATATTAGTTTACACGTCGCCCATAATGATCGCATTGTCAGAGCCTCATTTGTAAATAATATTTGACTTGTTGAAATTGCTGAAATATTATTCTAGCTTTTATATGTTAAAGGAATAGTACACCCAAAACATGATTAGCCTTCATTTTCTACTCACCCCCATGCTGAACAAAACTCTGGAGTACTTTTTTG